CTTGATATCCACGGTGACCCAAAACAGCAACATTTTTTAGTTGACCTGACCTGGAAGGTCAATGACTGACCTGAGAAGGTAAAATGGGTACATTGGATTCGTCTTCCCAAAGAATCTTTTTGGTCTTTACCGCTAAGCTCTATCTCAACAGGAACGAAATGGCGGGGGGGGGGGGTGGCAACCACCCCCCCCCCCCATGTGCGTTCTAGGATGGGAAATGGCATGTGGGGCGAGGGTTTAAATCACATTCAAAAATCTGATGTGATTTTCCATGTTTCTCATTATGCTGTTGCTGGTCAGCGAAGCTCGGCCCGGCCTGGGGCGATGATTTTGGATAGCATTTCAGCTGGGGTGCCCTGGATACCCTGGATCGGTGACCGTGCCGACGGCTGCAGCATATACTGGGATACGCGTGCACAAATGGCTGCTGCTGCCGGGCGAGAGGCTTTACATTTCAATCTGGCTGATCATCAAAATCCGGAAACCGTGCATTCATCTGCCATGCATATTTGCATTAATTCTTTCTGAATATGATAAATGTGTGGTTGTCTGTGAATGCACCGGTGAATCCGTCCAAACGGTGGAATCTGCACCGTGCTGTGTGTGCAGCCTGAACCGGAGGCTGGCCTTCGAGCCCGCCTGCGAGAGCGATGACGTCACTGAAAGAACCTGCCATGCAGGCTGCGCTTTTTACAAATCTAATGTATTTACCAAACACGGCAGCATTCCGAGAAGGACTGATGGACATTGGACACTAAGTCTCGGAAGTCTTTGGAGGCGTAGACAATGGGCAGCCTTGCTATAAAGCTTCAGCTGACTGAAGCTGGGTATACTGCAGACTGCTGAAACGTTTGCTCTCGGCTGGCGGGGGGCCGGTGGAAGGCTATCGTTCCGGAACTCGGATGGCAGTCGGCAGCGGCCTTGGCTGGCCTCCATTCATAGAGGGTCTCGGCTCCCGTATAGAGCACCACGGAACAGCCTCGGCGGCGTTCAGAGAGAGCCTATACTGTCTCTGGCAGCCCGGCGGCGTTCAGAGAGAGCGTACTGTTCTGGCAGCCCGGCGGCGTTCAGAGAGAGCCTACTGTCTCTGGCAGCCCGGCGGCGTTCAGAGAGAGCTTTGTCTCTGGCAGCCGGCGGCGTTCAGGAGAGCCTATACTGTCTCTGGCAGCCCGGCGGTGTTCAGAGAGAGCCTACTGTCTCTGGCAGCCCGGCGGCGTTCAGAGAGAGCCTACTGTCTCTGGCAGCCCGGCGGCGTTCAGAGAGAGCCTACTGTCTCTGGCAGCCCGGCGGCGTTCAGAGAGAGCTTCTGTCTCTGGCAGCCCGGCGGCGTTCAGAGAGAGCCTACTGTCTCTGGCAGCCGGCGGCGTTCAGAGAGAGCCTACTGTTCTGGCAGCCCGGCGGCGTTCAGAGAGAGCTCTGTCTCTGGCAGCCCGGCGGCGTCAGAGAGAGCCTACTGTCTCTGGCAGCCCGGCGGCGTTCAGAGAGAGCTTCTGTCTCTGGCAGCCCGGCGGCGTTCAGAGAGAGCCTACTGTCTCTGGCAGCCCGGCGGCGTTCAGAGAGAGCCTACTGTCTCTGGCAGCCCGGCGGCGGATGGAACTGAGGTCCGCGGCGGAGTCAACAGCTGTAAAAGACCGGTGCTTGTGTTTATAACCGTGCAATGTGCAGGCATGCTGCTCGGATGTGAGTACGAAGTAGGGGCGACATTGGCTGGCTGTTCTTTGTTGTCCGTTCTCTGGGACTGGGAGTGAGGTCGTCCATAGCTGCACTCCCGGGTCCGTTTGGTTCGAGGAACGCTCGCCGGTCAGTGTGGCCTGTCGACTGAAGTGGAGGAGGGCCGGGCGGCTCGGTCCAGCCGGCGCCCGCCCCCGGACCCGGTGACGCAGCAGTCGGGGACGCCCGTTGGACAGGTCACGTTCCTGTCCGACCCCAGCACCCGGGTCACAGCGGCCGGGCGCGCGGCGTGACCTTTGGGTGACCCCTGCCCCGGGCGCTGTCACCGGGAGAGCGGCCCGGCCGGCGAGAGGGCGGCAGAGCCCGGAGGAGAGGGCAGAGCCAGGGACATCCGGGTCGGAGGCTCTCGAAGCGTGGTGAAGTGGGCTGTCTGTGCCGTCCGATAGAATGGGGCGCACATATGCTCTGGCCGATTGACCGCGATCTGCCGCTTCCATAGAACACCCGGGGCGTTGAGTTCGCAATGGCAGGGCCAGATGGCCGTGGGCTATGATGAGAAATGACTTCGTACTCAGCGTAGTGGAATCCGGTCTGAATTACAAAACATCATCAATACGTGATCTGCGGGATTAAATATTTCTGATGTTGATGATAGTTGATATTGTTTGTTTGCTGATGCTGCTTGAATTCTCCCGCAATTTTCTCCTCAACGCGGTTTTAGAACAATGTGGGTTTCATATTATTTATACCTACTCTTCTGACTACTGTCACCATTTTGAGACTAAAGAATGTTCGACTTACGCCTAGCTAGAGGCTACGCTTACGAATATAAACTATGTAAATATTGACGAATGAAAACTTATAGGAATTGACATCTTCTATGTAGTGCGGTGATATGAGGTTCGATCCAGCATATTGCTTACAGCCTCCATCAACTATCGTGATCTGGGGTTGGCGTAATTTGGGTGTTTTGCAATTGATTGGGGTACAAAGCCTCCATGGTCAGTGCTCGCTCACTACTCAGGCTCAGAGAAGGCTGCCGACATTTGCTCCAATTGTCTGCCTTTCACATGGGGAACATAAACGGTGTTGTTTCTCATGTGTAACCGAAAGCAGTGATTGTGAACAATGAACAAGAATTTATTGCGAGACCTTTCCCGTGTTCCTAGGATTATCTATTTTGTCTTTCATCTGTCTACTTCGCAATGGAATATCGATGGATCAAAAGTTTTGCCTTTCTTCTAGCCGTGAGACAGGCGTGTTGTTTGTATCTCGCCTGGTTGTCTGACGAGGGACCCTTTCTCACCGCCAGGCTACCTGCTGACCAAGACGGAGAACAAGATCGGCTCGCCGGAGAAGCCGCTCTCCGACCTGGGTCTGATCTCGTACCGCAGCTACTGGAAGGACGCCCTGCTGCGCTACTTCGCCGACTTCCGAGGCAAGGTGGTCAGCATCAAAGGTAAGGAGTAAGGACGGCCGCTCGGTCAGACCTGGCTCAGCCGGACCAACACGCTGGGGATCTGAGGGTGCACCGCCCCGGCCCGGCCCGGAGTTGTGGGGTTAGGGAACAGCTACAACGCTGCCTCCCAGAGACTGCTGGGAGGACCCGGGGTCCCGCCTCATGAGCCGCTGACCGACAGCGCTATGACTGCTGACTGCTGATGCTGAGTGGAGAGACTGCAGACTGCAGAGCCTTGCGCTGACCGACAGCGCCCCTGGCGGCGCCGGCGGGAAGCTCCTGTGACCGTTTTCGGGGATGAGTCTCGGCTGCTGCCCTCCCTCCCTCCCTCTCCCGCTGGGGTGGGGCGGCGCCGCCAGACGGGATCGATGCTCTGCCGCCCAGGGCGGCGGCGGGGGCGGCGGCGGCCACCGCCCAGGGCGGCGCCACGCTGGCTGTCTCTGGCCGTCTGCAGCCAGGCGGAGGGTGCGGCCCGCCCTCCCCCCTCCCCCCCCCCCCCGCGCGCCGCGCCGGGTCGCCGAGGTCACGAACGGCCGCCTCTGGGCGGCCCTGTCTGCCAGGTGTGTGCCGGGCGACGGTTATCGGCCGGGATCGATAACGGCTGCCCCCCTCCCCCCTCCCCCCGGTCACGGAATGTGGGAGCACCCACGGTCTCGACATCCACATCCTGCTCCGTGATCAGTCACTGACGACGGCCTCCACAGTCCACGTGGTTCAGTGTAGGGGACAAGAAGGGCTCGGGCCTGCTTACCGTCTTGGGGTGAATTGGTTTTCATTGTGGAAACAGTTTTAGTCATTCAATCGATATACTTTTCACGAAACACTTATCCTTTTCATCGCTTGATGGACCCTTTAAAGAAAAATTTAGAACTCGCAATATTTCTTATTGTAGTTGCCGTTCCCTGTGTGCAGGGGCCAGGGTATACTGCCTACATTATCATTAGGTACTGTTAAATGGGGTTCCCTTCTCCTGATAGGTAATTCATCGTGATGACAGCGTTGGATATACGTTGTCACACATAAGGATGTTGTTGCCTTCGCTTATTCAGTCTGGGCCGTTGATGCCTTCCAGTTCCACACTTCTTCCCATCAACGCACGTTACCGGCAAAGTCTCAAAAATGTACGCTTCTCTTCCCCGCTGCATCTCCTGCATATCACCCCCCCCCCCCCTCACATCCGGCGGCCGCCCGGACGGGGCGCATTCCTGTGACCTGACGTCAGCCGGTCTGGCGAGGGTGGCGGCGGGGGGGGGGGGCGCCTCACACGCACCGCTCTGGGGTCAGAGGTCAACTAGGGAGTGCCGCGCGCCGCGCGCCGCCGGAACCAGCCGGTCCCGGCCGGCCGGCCGCCGCAGCTGCACGGCAAACTGAGCAGTACTGACTGACACCAAACTTAACTTGATAGATAGAATACATTTTACTGCCGGTACACTGCCACTGCGCATGTGTTTCGTGCATCAGCAATCTCTAAATGCCTTAAAACCTAGATACCAAAATATAAATTAATAGGTCCGGCGAGGGTAAAAAAGGTTTATACAATTTCCAAATTTTAGGTTTCAAAATGGACTTTTTCCACGTGCTCCGTGTCCTCAATCTGAACCCTAAGATGTGTCCGAACAGATCTACGACACGATTGCTGTCGAAGATATGTGAATACATATCGAAAGATCCAACGTGCTGACGAACTTTGTAGAGAAAGTCAATTTTTAAACTTTTTTCGAACTCCACAATATGTCTTCAAGCCAGGGTTACATTGAATTGTCGTTGTCAAGTCAAAAATATTGGTAGGCCTCAGGTCTTCCAGGCTGTACAACACAACACCATGCGTCCACTTTGCCCCACGTCTTTTCTCCCTCTCCTAACCTGCAGCCCACCTCTGACCATCCCAAATCTCTATATCATTCTAACTAATTTCTGACTCAGGGTTGCACGTCCCTGCGTGTCGGTCATAAAACTATGATGGACACCGCGACAGCCGGCAGCTGAGCCCGTTTTGTTTTGTCAATGATCCACCCTACTCCGTTCCTCCACCCGGCTCGCTTTGTGAGCCAGCCGGGCCCCTTATCATAACCCCTAACTGCGCTCTCACTCCCAGCCCTGGCGTTTCATTAGGTCGCCGAAATGAGGTTCCGTGTGTAGTGTACCGGGCGATCGGAGCGACCAATGAAGCGTGGCTCGCAGCGCACTGGGTCGCTCTGCATATCTCGCTGCGCCACAGGCCCGGCCCGTGCTCCCGGAAACCTGTGTTTGCTCGGTCGGGTCAGGGCTTCCTTCCAGTCTTCCGGGGTAAGGGCTGCGATCACTCCATGTCCGCGTGCATAGGCGCGGGAACCGCGGGGGGGGTGTGGCAGTGGGGACATCCTGCCCCCAAAAATAAGTGGCCTAAAACCGGTGAGAAAACTAGATTTGGGGGTACCCTAGGTTGATCTCTATTATGGTGTGCCCCCCTCCCCCCCCCCCAGTCTGAAAGTAGTTCCCGCACCCTTGTCTGCGGGCTCTTATTGGGACTAAGGAGGATCTTTGTTCGTGTGAGGAAGGATCTCTCTCTCTCTCTCTCTCTCTCTCTCTCTCTCTCTCTCTCTCTCTCTCTCTCTCTCTCTCTCTCTCTCTCTCTCTCTCTCTCTCTCTCTCTCTCTCTCTCTCTCTCTCTCTCTCTCTCTTCGTATTCGTATTCGTATTCGTATTCGTATTCGTATTCGTATTCGTATTCGTATTCGTCTTCTTCTTCCTTCATCAGGTGAGGTGTAGTACTCGTCAGACAAGCTCTCTCGTAAGAGGTCTCTTTTCTTCAGGCGAGGCAAGGGTTCTCTGTTCGCCTCGCCAGTTCTGGTGCGCCTGCTCGCCCGGCGAGGTCGAGTTCTCCGTTGCCGGCGGGTCAGGGGGTATGCGGGGTGAGCCGGGTCGCCGGAGGGGGGGGGGGGGTCACCGGAGCCGGTCAATGCAGCGGCCAGGGGACGGGCAGAGGAGGGGGAACAGCGGTCACCTTCCTCCCCCGCTCTGTCTCTCTCGGCGGCGCCGGCGGGGTCACCTTGGCGCTCTGCCCCCCTCCGCGCTCTGTCGGTCCCGACGACCGGCCGCTGTCTGGGCCGAGGGCCGATTCGAGTCGAACGGAGCGGGCTGCGAGCGGCCGCCGACGGAGCGGAGCCGCCGCCCCCGCCGCCGCCCCCGCCCCCGCCGGCCGTCTGGCGGCAGCCCTCGGCTGTCGGCGCCGACGGTATATTTAGCGGGCGGCGGCGGGCCGGCCATGGGCGGGGTCGACGGCCGCGCCCGCCCGCCGCCCGCCGGTGCAGTGACCCGCCGCTGGCGGGGGCGCAGCGCGGGGTATGACCCGGGCCGACAGGCGGCACAGCGGGGGTCGTGACCTGGGGCCGACAGGGGGCACAGCGGGGGTCATCGTCTGGGGCCGACAGGGGTGGATCATGACCTGGGGTCGACAGGGGTGGACTGATGTCGGTGCACAAGTGGAAAGAAGAGGTCACTGTGGCCGGCCTCGAGCCGAGGGCGGGCTTCACTCGCCTGAAAAGCCCCGGAACGGAAGGTGACCTGGCGGCGGCGCCTGGATGGTGATGCTGCCAGAGCGGTGGCTATTTCACGTTGAGTAACGGACATCCTGGCAGAGCTGGAGTCTCTTGTGGATAAGTGATCTTTAAAGCATTTGTTAGTAGGGGGCGGTAAAACAAAAAATCGCTGCTCCCCGAGTGCTAAGAAGCAGCGTTCTTCTCAGTCTCAGTCGAAACTGACACTATAACGTGACTTTGCAGGGAGTGTTGTTAGTTTTGCATAGTCCGATGCCATTATCAGAAGGCCGGCATGGTGCTGGGGATGCATGATTCCCGAGCGCATTGAGCGGGCTACACAGAGCAGGCTGCAGGCTCCAGGCAGCTGGACGCTGCTGTTGCTGACCTTCCCGCGGGGAGAGGGAAATGGGGCAAAGTGGTCGACCTTGCGAGACCCGCCTATCTACCAGAAGCCTGTGGTAGAGACAGAGCTGGAAATAATTGCAAGTTGTAAGTGGAAACTGGAAAAGTAACAATATACTCGTAGCACCGGCTACCGCGTACCTACCTAATCATCAAGGAGTTTGTCGACATTACCTGGTTTTAGGTACTTATGTAAGATGTTATCTAATTAACTATTGTCAGCATCGGTTTACTGCGGTGATTTTTGGGGCAATGCGCCGTTCCTTGCAGTTGTTCGGTCTCGAAAATAATTTGTGAACCTGTGCTCCAGCTCTGTGCACCCCCCACCCACCACTTGGATAGCGCGAAAAACAATATTCAGTGGCTCTTTAGGCGTCATTTTTTACCAATATTCTGTTTGTCACAACTTATGTAAAATTATATAAAACCAAGCTTCGATCTCAGCCCCGTATTTACTATTCATACTTGCAGCGCAGGTATTACCAGACGGAAAGGGGAACAGACGTGGACTCGATGGCTCCCCTGTCGCAGCCTGCATTCGGCCGGCGCCGCCGCGCGCCGCCGACCCGAAGCTCTTCCGGCGCAGAGAGGCTCCATTTTGTATTCGGAGCGGGTGGAGCGGCTGCCAGCACCTGCAGCGCTCCCCTCCCGGGGGACCAAAACGGGCCGGCGCCGGACATGCCGCAATCGGCCGGCTCGTCGCCGCGAGGTCCCGCTGCTCCGAGGGGAGGCTGCAATAGGGCTGCAGACCGGACGGCGGGGGCGGCGGGCGGCGGTGGGGTCGTCTAATCCAGACGGGAGGCGGTGAGAGCTGCGGTCCAGGCGGTGGGGTGGGTGGGAGCTGCAGTCTGTTCATTGGGGGTGCAGTCCAGACGGTCGTGGTGGGAAGCTGCCGTCCAGACGGGAAAGGCTGCTGCTCCGAGGGGAGGCTGCGGTCCCGTCTGGGGTGCTGCGGTCCGGGCCGAGGCTGCAGTCTGGGCGGCGGGGCGGCGGAGGCTCCCGTCCCATTCCGGAGCGGCGCCAACGGTGACGAAGCGGAAGGCGTGGGCGGCACCGGCGCCGGTGTGAGCTGCCAACAGC